TGGAGCAGGAAGGAGGGGGGAGGGGAGAAAAAAGAGTTGGGGACGAGGAGTGGGGGATGGCAGGAGAGAACAACTAACTGACTATGGAACAGTTTTAATGATCGATTATGTAGATTCTATAATTAGAGGGTTGGGGCGAGGAGGAGGGAGAAAAACAGGGTTTGAGCGGGGGAGAAAAGAGGGTTGGGGCAGGGGGGTGAGAGGAGAACAATTTAGGAACAATATTAATGAAATAATACATGTAATATTATATACAGTGTATTATTTAATTATCAAATCTTACTATTAAGTATTTTGCGCAAGAAAGTATCCACGAAGAAGTTAGCTAGGGGAGGCTACTCTGGGAGACTGCCCTTTCAACTTTCTACTTTCTGTTTCGTTTGCATTTCCCCTCACGGCTCATTCCTCGCCTCGCTCCTCCCCTTATCAGCGAGTGCAGTCGAAAAAATCCAGGACGGAGATGTAAGTCTAGATTTGTATTGGCGGCATAAAGGTTCAACTAACTATAAGAGAGACGACCTGAACTCCGAACACATTTTCTTGAGGGTTGATTTAAGGTCGGCGGACGACGGGTTCAGAATTTGGACCATTAGAAGTTACTTCCTGTTTCATGATAAGATCCGTAAAAATAATTATTTAAATAATTAAATAATAATGTATAAATTATTGTCGACAACCCCAATTATAACACCCCCGCCCCCAACAGTCTAATAGTTGAGTTTCTTTTCTACTCCACACTGTTGTCTTTTGTCATATAGATTTCTAGATATATAGATATATCCAGATCTAGATCTATATAAAGGTAGACTAGTTATTAAAATTAGTAGTTTGGATGTTGTGTTGTGGTTTATAAATTATTTGTTTGCTAACTGAAACGGATCAAACTGATGGGTGTATGAAATATAATAATATAGGATAATATTAATATTTTATTATTCATGAATTGTGTATGATTCTTATACAATCTAACATGCTCAAAGTGAAATCCCTGTTGTAAGTGTAAATCTTTTTGTCGCATAAATTTCGGTCGGTATGTGTAATAATTCATTAGTAATGTAAGAAATAATTCAGTGAAAGTAAAGTACAACCTGTTCGCTCTGAGTTACTATGTCATGTGTATGTTTGTTATTAATGTTCACTATTTAGGTGCTAGACTCTATGATACAAAGAAGGTTTTGGTCTCTCTAATTGTAAGAATACTTGTAGTAATTTGTAGACTACTGTCAAATTTTATACTCCCTTGGATTTCACTTTCAAGTTTCAAAGTTGACTGCCTCTCAGATTCAGAAAAAAATAGGGCAACAATGATATAATTAGGGGGATAAAGTAGAAAGTGCAGAGAGACGAATGGAAAGTAGACATGTTCATATCCTACGTAGTCTAAACAGCCGTATGCACTGCTCACCGTCGAACGCTCCGTATCCCGGACTCTAGCATGGAGATCATCAGGAGAGAATGCGTCGCTGTTTCGGGCTCTTCCTCTCTACAGCTTTTCTGACGCACCGAGCCCCCTCACCGATGTGAGGTCTCCATGTTAGTTCGACTGTTTTCCTCTGCTGCCAACTTTAGGATTAATTCCAGCTTGAGTCCTCTCGCTTCAACCAGATCCAATGACTGGCTTTCTCTGCTGTCTCCTGAAGGGAGTTTGTGAGTTCGTTGCTTTTCTTTGCAGTAAGTCCTGCCACTCTCATCCACTTACGGGCGCTTGTTGCCACAAAACCTCTGCATCCTACCTCTACCGGAAAATGGGTTGCCTTCCATCCTGCCTCCTCACATTGTTCGACGAGTGCCTCGTAACGGTTTTCTTTCCGCTCATGAGCGGCATAGATATTGTCCTCGTGGGGCACCGTGAGCTCTACCAAGTGTACCTCTTTGTCTTTTTCCTCCCATAACACAATGTCTGGCTTTTTCGTAGTTGGAATGGGGAAGAATCTCTCAAAGCCTTTTAAGTCAGCAGCTACTTCCCATGTGCCTCCGCTCTGGTCTTTCATGGCTTCGTTCGCTTTCTTTCTTTTGGCAACCTTGCTTCCTTGCGGAACGAACGCAATCTTGGTGGGTCCATGCTTCTGTATCTTGGGGGCATATTTTCCTTCTTCCACCTGTTGTGTCGCCATTTTCGTGAGCACTTTCAACACCTCGTTGTGTCTCCAGGTGTATCTGTTAAGAGCTAGGTTGCAGTTTGACAAAATATGCTTCATGGTTCCTAGCTTACCGCATCTACACTTGTTGTCCTCCTGTACCTTCCATCTGACAAGGTTCACCGGTGAAGGCAGAACATCATACGTAGACCGGAGAAGAAAGCTCAGCCTTGATGTATTCCACTTCCAGATGTCACTCCACCCGACTTTTCTTTCCACTACATGCTCTTCCCATCTGGTCATTTGTCCTTGCTGGCTACACTGGATGAGATGAATTTCTCGCCTCTCTGCCTCCATCTTTTGCATATGTCTTGTTGCAGCTTTTCTTCTGTCTCGCTGAGACATTTTCCTGAAAGGTCTAAAGTCGCCATTACCTAGCCCTAATCTGTCAGGTTGCGCTGGACCGACAATGTCCCCATGCTCCAATGCAGAGATGATCTCGTTAGCTGCAACTTCTGCCTTCCACTTTCTGGCTGTTTTGACATCTGGAGGTTTTCCACTGATCTCCTTATCCCTTGATTCTCTCAACATCAAAACGGTTCTAATCTTGCCTGCTTTGTAGATCTCCACAATTGACGTGAGAGGTAGTTGAAGCGCACCTCTATGTCTGTACAGGGATGACGTGTTAATGGTACGGGGTAGCCCCAGCCACTTCCTGATGTAGCTGTTACACTTTCTTTCGATCATCTCAACTCTTGACAAAGCAACTTCATACATTGTCAGTGGCCACGCCAATCGAGGGTAGAGGGCAAACTGTAGACACCATATCTTGTGCTTTCCTGGAAGCTTTGTCTGGTCAATTGCTTTCAGCCCATTTTCAGCCTGCTTCATGATTTCCACGCCTTGACTCCTATCAGACAGAGTTCTTGAAATTCAACCGACCCAAACTTTTCACGGGTTGTTCTTTTACTGTGGGCATTTGTTCCCCTGCAATTGTGAACTTCAGTTGCTTCTGTTTTCCTTTGTTAATAGTCAGGCTTCTAGACTTTTTAGCTTTAAACTTCATTCTGGCCCAGGTGATAAGCTTATCGAGCCGATTCAACACACTTTGCATTGTGTCTCCATCTCTTGTCAGTAGGGTCACATCATCCATAAAGGCTTTCTTTGGTGATCTCACCTTTGCTTCTTCTTCACAGCATTCTGCAGATCTCAGTAGCATCTCCATTACCAGGATGAACCAGATGACCGATATAGAGCAGCCAATTGCAATCCCAATCTCTAGTCGGTGCCATTCCGTTGTGAAATTTGCGGTTGAGAATCGCATCTGGAAGTTACTATAGTATTCTCTCATAATGTTTTGCACCTCTTGTGGGACGTAGAAAAAATCCATTGCCTTCATCAGCAATTTATGGGGAACAGACCCGTAGGCATTCGCCAGATCCAACCACACTACGTTTAAACTTTGCTTGTTTTTCTTGGCCTCTTGGATTGTGTCCCAAATGGTGAAAGCATGCTCGATGCAGCCTGGGATCCCTGGTACCCCGGCTTTCTGTACCGTTTCATCCACATAGCCGTTACTTTGCAAATATGCTACAGTCCTCTTTGCAAGTATTCCCATAAAGATCTTGCACGTCACGTTGATGATTGAAATAGGTCTGAACTGTCCTATCTCCTTTGCATTCTGTTCTTTGGGTAGATACACGCCCTCCGCTCTGCACCAATCTTTGACGATTTCTTTGTCTTTCCAAAGGCCTCTTAGCATCTCAAAGAGGGTGTGTCTCAGCGTGTCGCAATACTTGAACACCTTATAAGACACGCCATCTCCTCCAGGTGCACTTTTTGCTCTTGCTTTTTTTACGAACTCATCTACTTCTTTCTCTCTAATTGGTCCCAGGTAATATTTGACGACGGGGGCAGCTGGACGCTTCAGGCCTCTCATATAAGGAAGTGGTTCTTCTCTTCTTGAATCGCTGTACGTCTGCTTAACATAAGCATCGAGTTCCTCTTTCGTACATTCCAATTTACCACTCCGTGCCTCTGTGAACAGTTTTTTGGCTGCTTCATAAGGATTCTTCAGAAATTGTTCACGTTCCCTTTTTCTCTCTTTTCTCCTGGCACACCTTCTTTCGTGCCTCTGTAGGTCTCTGCTCTTTTTCTTAAGATCTTCAAACAAGATTCTTAGGCCTTCTATCTCTTCTGGTGGTGCGTACTTTTTCTGCTTTTGCAAGTCTCGTTTCTGTTTTCTTAGCTGTGCAAGTACTCTCTGCCTTCTACTCAATCCACTTTTCTTCTCCGTCTTTTTCTTTCCTTCACAAATACCAAACTCTTTTATTGCCAAGTCATAGATAATGGTCGCAAACGCACTCAATATTTCTTTAGCATCCCCTCTGTTAGAACTCTTTTTGACTTCTTTCAATTTCTTCTGGACTTCTTCTTCTAACGTCTTGTATTTTGCCTTCTCGTTAGCAGCAGGCCACAGTATTCTGGGTTTCCGTAACCCTGGTTCCGTTTGCTGTTCCATCTCTTGCTGAGACAGGGTGAAAGGAGAGTCGACTGAAGCACTAATCGTTCCGCTGTGGTTTTCATCCTGGGATGATTTGCTTCGCGTCTTACAATCTGACGATCTGCACTGACTTCTCTTCTTTAAACAGACTTTTCCCTGGTGCACTCTCAGCCCTCGCCAGGTATCGAACTTTCTGTAGCACTGCTCGCACATAAAGCTGTTCTCTTGATTCTCTTTCTGCATTGTCCTTTTAACGCTTAGGTCATTGTCCATTGAATCCGTCCTTGTGGATCCATCCTCTACTCCCCCCTCTCGGTGGATCCCGGGGCTGTCTTTTCTATTGGTTGACGTAACTTATATTTACAGTGACCTGGGTAGTTAGCCCCTGCCACCGTCGGTCTTTCCCAAATAATTGAACAAAATTTTGAAATGTAACTTTTTCGTATATGTATTTTATATTTGAAGATGCTGTGAGCTGTGATCTGAATCAGGAACTGAAAGAACCATGGTCTCAATTTGTGACTTTATTTCAGATTGAAAATTCAAGTGCAGTATGGCTAATTGTATTAACAAAGGATTGAAGGTCTGGCCCAAGGTTTTGCTGTATGGGGACTCCATCACACAGGTAATTTGACGAAATGCACATGGGTGTCTGCAGGCTCTTTTCTCTCTGTCGTATGGTTCTCTGTCTGTCTCTCTCTGTCTGCCTGCCGATCTCTCTCTCTCTCTCTCTCTCTCTCTCTCTCTCTCTCTCTCTCTCTCAATTTCTCTCTCACTCTCTCTCTCTCTCTCTCTCTCTCTCTCTCTCTCTCTCTCTCTCTCTCTCTCTCTCTCTCTCTCTCTCTCTCTCTCTCTCTCTCTCTCTCTCTCCCCCCCCCCCCCTCTTTTCTGTCCCCTTATTCTCTATCAGTCTTTCCATTACTCTTACTGGCTGTGTTTTGTTTAAAAGGTTGACTTTTTACTGTGTTACAATCGGATTGTAGTGTTCTTTTTCACTCTTGTCATGTTCTAGTTTTTCCTTTCCAAACTCTCTAGGTGTAAACTATAATTGGGTTTTTTTTTCTGGAAAAATAGGAAATACATCAACAATGTTCAGAAAAAATATGATTCAAAAGTGTGGAAAAATTTATTGAACTCTTCATATACACACTTTTGAATAGTTAAGAAAATAGTTTTGGTTGTTTTCCTACTTGTAATTATAAAATTATTCAAGTCGTTTCATCTTACAAAATTGGATTTAATTGAATTTAAAAACTACCACTGCCACCTTAATTCCACGCAAATAGATTTACAACTGTATGTGGTTTTGTTCTTGCAGCAAAGTTTTAGCCCTGATGGGTGCTGGGGAAGTTTGCTGGCAGATTACTTGCAACGGTGAGAGCTGTTTTCTCATGACATTTAGGTACACTGTACCCCAGGGGCGTAATGAGTTATTTCAATGTCTCAAAATAATTCTGAAATATTGAATTTGCCACAGATTTGTTATTCTTAATTCTGTGATGAATAAACAAAAAGCTTATTGAACTTATTCTTTCCTGTGAGAAAAGTGTATTGTGTTCTACCTTTGGTTCTGTCATCTTTCTTTTCTCAATCTGGAAAATGGAATCCTGTTAATGTAAGCCAATTGTGTCATGACGGGGTTGAGTCATCAATTTTTGGGCATGTATGCATCTATTGAAATCATCTTAACCCTATCCGTACGGCATGTTTTACTATCGTATCAATAAGACATGGGAAAATCTGTGCCACCCCTTTCAAAGAGGAAATTAAGTCATTAATCCAATCCATACGCTTTGCATAGCAGTCTGTCAAAATGATTTTTTGAGAAATACTGAAAGTTTCAAAGAGGTCTTTGTATTAGAAGTATTCTAAAATGTGAAGAATACAACCCCGGGGGTACAAAATGACCCCAGGGCGTACAGATAGGGTTAATAAAGCTTGCTCTTTTGTCTTTTGGATAAAAGTGGGGATATATGCGAGTGAAGAATGTAGGGGTTGCCTGGTGTCAGAGGTAAAAATAGTGAGAAAATGACCGCCAAAGTATGTTGACTTCCAACGCTTGAGTGTCCTTGGAAACTACAAAGTTACATATTTTTGTGTGCCTTGATCATTGTTTTTGCTTTAAAATTGACACACAAATGTGTTTTTAAATGGATGTATATATATATATATATATATATATATATATATTTATAATATATGTTTGCTTCTTGTAGTAGCTTTTGTATAACATGTTTACTATTGTGAATTTTCTGTTGATCAGGAAGTGTGATGTTGTCACCCGTGGCTTCTCTGGTTACACCACACGTTGGTGCAAACTCATGCTGCCGTCAATCCTGGACAAGACTGTTGCCAAGGACACGGTTGCCATGACGATCTTTCTGGGAGCCAACGACTCCAACAATGAGGCCAATGTACGACAGCACGTACCTCTGGAGGAGTACAAAGAGAACATGAAGGAAATGGTGGACTACGCTTTGGTAGGTTCAGGGTCGTTGTAGTGAATATCTCTCACTCTTTGGTAGGTTCATAATTGTTGTAATAGACTACGCTTTGGTAGGTTCATACTTTGTAATGAATATGGTCGCTTTTAAGCACAAGCCGGCTAACCCAGATTTCGGGGCTTTCCAGAAATCTTGTCATAAACCAAAAATGGGCATTGCCCTACCTATAGGAGAAGTTACGTTTCACTGGTGTGTATACTCGTTTGGTTATAGAGAAAACCTCCTTGTCTTTTATTAAAGAAACTGAACAAGGGGCAAAACGTTTAGCTTTGATTTTCTCAAAACAGCATTTTTTGGGATAGCCCCCTTGTGCTTAAAGTAAAAGCGACCATATGTGAGGCAGCGTGGTGGAATCAGGCTCTCGTCAAAATAATCAAAGTGAAGAAACTTGCATTTTTCCGTAGGTTTGTGAATTTTTATGGAATTTTTGTTTTTTGGCTCAACACCTTTCATACCCATTAAAGAACTCATTTTTGTGTGAATTTTCTGAAAAACGTTGATTACAGGCACAAAAAATATAAATTTTCAGTTACCAGGGACTCTTAAGCTAAGGGAATAACTGATTTTTGGCGGCCTTTTTCTCACTAATTTTACCTCAGAAAACAGGTGACCCCCACCTCCTTCTTTCGCAAATATATCGACTTTTATTCAAGATAAATGGGGTTTTTTTTCTTACCAATAAAGACAAGTGAACAAGCTTTAAGATGATACCAATAACTCTACATGCCCAAAAATTGACGAGAGCCTGATTTCACCACGCTGCCTCACATAAAATCTCTTGTGTTTGGTAGGTTCACGCTTGTTGTAGTGAATATATCTGACTCTTTGGTAGGTTCATACTGACTTGTTTTAGTGGACTGCCCTTTGGTAGGTTCATACTTTGTTATGAATATGTGAGGCATCGTGGTGAAATCAGGCGCTCGTCAAAATAATCAGAGTAAAGAAACTGGCATTTTCCCACAGGTTTGTGAATTTTTATTGAATTTTCGGTTTTTGGCTCAACACCTTTCATGCCCATTAAAAAAACTTTTCTGTGTGGATTTTACTGAAAAACGTTGATTAAAGGCACAAAAAATTTTAATTTTCAGTTTCCACAGACTCTCAAGCTAAGGGAATAACCCATCTTTTGGCGGCCATTTTCTCAATAATTTACCTCTGAAACCAGATGACCCCTCCTCCTTCAGTCGCAAATATCTCAACTTCTATTCAACATGAATAGATATTTTTTTTTACCAAAAGCAAGGCAAATGAACAGGTTTTAAGATGATACCAATAACTCCACTTGCCCAAAAATTGACAAGCGCCTGATTTCACCACGTCGTGACACATATAATCTCTTGTCTTTGGTAGGTTCATACTTGTTGTATTTAAATATTTTGTGTAAAAACTGCGGCTGTTTGAGTACTCTTCTTCTGTTAACTTTTAAGACCAACTGAAAGCTAAATTTATTAGAATCATCTGTCACTCAGTTCACAATTTGCCAGTGCCTACTGTAATTTTTCGCAGCAGATTTTTTGCGGGTGCTCTGATATGGTTTGTTCCTTCCTTCCTATAAAACATCTACCATCCACATATGTCTCTTCTCCTTTTTATCTTTGTATGATACTTTCTTGTCATACCTCCAATCTTTGGCACCTATAAGACCTATTTGTGTTGCAAGTGACGTAAAAGTCTTACTAAATATAACTGGAGAAAAAATCTTTTTGAAATTGCACCCCCCCCCCCCCCACCCACACACACACACACACACAACCATATCCATCCTGTTATTAGTCGACAGGCATGAGCAGAGAAAGAATCATCCTGATCGCACCTCCGGCCTTCAACGTTTCTGCGTGGGCGGAGGACTGTAAAAAGAAAGGTAAGTTTTGGTCTTCAACCTTTTAGCGATCAGCTCATCGCGACCTCTGTGCTTTCTCGTCGTATCTCCATTTTTTAAACAATGAAAGTGTGACATCTTCTCAAGCTCACTCTTTGTTGTGAAATGTTTTCACTGTTATTGAAAATGAAGATGTGACAAGAAAGCACTGGGGTCGTGTTATGTGAGTTGAATTGTGGCTTCGGTGACCTAATGGTTAGGCTCTTTGACTCGCAACCGCAAAGTCATTAGTTCGAATTCAGTCAGGGGCTCGATGTTGTGTTTTTAGAAAAGGCACTTTACTAGAATTTGCCTCTCTTCAGGGGGGGGGGGGTAGGTATCGGGCTATTGACGGCAAAAGATCTTTTCAGTTCGATATGGTGTTCGAGTGCTGCTTGCTCTGTATGCTGCTGGGGAAGCCGAGAATGTTTCTTAGTAGGTGATATTAGTACAGTCCGTGCCGGCTATAAGCATGCCGGCTTAAAGCACGTTTCGGACTTAAGCACGCTAAACGGCTCTTACTGAATTTTTGCTATATAAATTACACGCCTTTAAGCACGGTAACTTCGGCTTTAGGCACGTTTCATTACAACAAGACAGTCAATACTTTCATGATGACCTATCGAAGTTCGAACAGTCTACACTGCAGCAGTGGAGTGTGTTAAGAGAAACACAGAGAACGCAAGTGATAGAGACACGCACTCACACGGGCGGAGAGGAAGGCAGAGAGATGCACACAGCCGCGCGCGTGGACATAGGATCTAGCCAAGGACAAAGTTACACACAGACTTAAAAAATACAAAGAGAGTCGGGGAGACGAGAAAGGGTCGGCTAGCTGCGATTTCACCTTTGACCTCGCTATCCATTAATCCTGATTGTGTATCACGCGCGAGGTGGGATGAAAGCGGTGGTATGAGTGGCACAGCGTGTAGGCCTAGTGTGCTGGCCGTCTAAATTCAGTTTTCATTTCCCATTCGACCACAAAAAACAAACAAACAAGCAAACAAAAACTCCCATGGCGGGTGTCTAAATAACAGTGCACACTTTTGCGGGACCGCTATAGGCCTACTTACAAACAAAGGGAAATAGCACGGGAAATGTTCTACCTGAAAATCTCTGGATTATGTCTACTTCGCACTCAAGCACGCTTCGGCTTTAAGCACGCTTAAGCTTTCTCCCGACGACCGTACTTAAAACCGGCATGGACTGTATAGGTAATAGTTCGTTTGTTTGTTTGTTTAGTAGAGGGTTTTACGGCGCTCGCAACTGCATAAGGTCATATGAGCGCGCGGGACACACCTAATACTTTTTCGTTGGTAGGAAATTTTGAATTTTGCCCGGGTGGCGGCCGAAGCCTACTCTTATCGATTTTAGACCACCAAGGGATCTTTAACGTGCGCAACTTGCACACGGGCCCTCCGAGATTTTTCGCCCTTGTCCGAGAAGGCTAGGTGTAGATCTTTCCTACCAGAAGATCAGGGGTGTGGCAGAAAGACAGCAGTTTGGAAGAGCCAAGGAGTAGCAGCAGAAAGGCTGCAGAAAGAGTCAGGAGCCCAGAGGAAGGGAAAAGGAGGTGAGGGGGTGGGGGCAGAAAGTGGAAATGAAAGCAGACAACAGAACATTGTTAGAGATCAGGAAAGGATGTGAAAGGAGACACTTTTAGAGAAGAAAATATTGTGGTCGCTATCCGGAATCGAACCCGGGACCTTTGAATGAGAGGCCAACACCTTAACCTCTAGGCCACGAGAGCCCCCCAGGTAATAGTTTAAGGGTAATAATAGTTGTAAAGGGCGTAGAGCTTGCTGTTGAGTGAGGATATGCCCTATACAAATGCTAAATTATTTTTAATTATGTGAGACATGACGGATGTTAGTGTTACAGAGGTTGTAGAATATTGGATATTATTATGAGGCTTATTTATGTATAACGAGATCGCAACTGAGAACAATATCAGTGACTTCTTAAGGAATGTTAAGTTTTTTTCTTGAAAGGGAGATCACTTTTTTTTTTTAAAGTAAGAAATGTCATGTACCAGTAGGTCATGTGTTTTTGTCAGGATCATCATTATTTTTTTAAAAGAAAAGAGCGTCATGTTTTTTAAACTTTTCTTAAAGGGGCTCTATATGTTGTTTTCTTTAGCAGAATGTTATATTTTTTCTTTCAAGGTTTGTCATGTTTTTTGTTTTTTTTCAAGGTTTGTCAAGATTTGTCATGTTTTTTTCTCTCCAAGATTTGTCATGTTTTTTTATCCCAGATTTGTCATGGGTTTTTTTTCTCTCCAAGATTTGTCTGGTTTTTTTATCCCAGATTTGTCATGGTTTTTTTTTTCTCTCCAAGATTTGTCATGGTTGTTTTTTCAAGACTTGTCATTTTTAAAAAGATTTTATCATTTTTTTCCTATAAGATTTGCCTTGTCTTTTATTTCCTCCAAGATTTGTCATGATTTTTTTTTTCAAGATTTGTCATTTAAAAAAAGATTTTGTCATTTTTTTCCTTCAAGAATTACCGTATTTTTTCCTATAAGATTTGCCATGTTTTTTTTCTCCAAGATTTGTCATTATGTTTTTTTCAAGATTTTGCCGTGTTTTTTCCTATAAGATTTGCCATGTTTTTCCTATCCTTGTGTAAAGGCAAGGTTGTGACCAAAGACAACACGACCACGGGCGTCTATGCCAAAGCCTGCTGTGAGCTGGCCCAGGAGATGGGCACCGGTGTTGTTGACCTCTACACAGAAATGATGAAGGCGGAGGTGAGTTTTGGAGGTGGAGATTATGGAATTGTGTCTGGAGGGATTATGAGTTTATGTACGTGGAAATTATGTAGGTGGGGATTTATGAAATTTTGTCTGTGGAAATTGTGTAATTATGTATGTGGAAATTATGAGTTTATGTATCGGGAAATTATGAAATGATGAATGTGTGGAAATTATGACAACTGAGTGGACCTCTACACAGAGATGATGATGGCCGAGGTGAGGTTTGTGGGTTGGGATTATGAAATGATGTATGTGGAAATTATGAAATTATGTACATAGAAATTATGAAATTATGTATGTGTGGATTGTGGAATTGTGTCTGGGGATTATGAAATTATTTATGTGGAAATTATGAAATTATGTATGTAGGGAATATGAAATTATTTATGTGGAAATTATGAAATCATGTCTTGTGGGGATTATGCAATTATGTATTTGAAAATAATGAAATTATGTTAGTGGAAATTATGAAAGCTGAGGTGACCTATACATGATAGAGCTGATGGAATCAGAGGTGATTTTCGTATATGTGATGGGGATTATGCAAGTTGAAGTGAGGTAATGTACACTGTGATGATGAAGGTGCAGGTGAGTTTTGTATGTGGGGATTATGAAAGCCGAGTTGTGTTATGTACACAAACATTTATTTATTTTATAGCGTAGGAAAAAATACGAGTTTTCTGTTAGCTTGATGGGTATCATGCTGGGCTGCTGAGTGAACAGCCCTGGTTTTAATCCTTGACTGGGTGTTCTTGAACAGTGGTGTCCAGCAATGGCGTATATTTTGTAGTATATTATTTGTTTAGTTTTAGTAAGTGTTTTACGGCACTTGCAACACAATAAGGTCATATAAGTGCCGAAGATTAGAGATGGTACAAGAGAGTAACCAACACAAAATAGATGGAGAGGAGATAAAGACAATAGATTTTTTATAGAAAAGAAGGAGCAAACCACACCAGAGCACCCACCAACCACCCACTATGGAATTTGTATGTTTCCGTATGTACATATCTATGTTCAAGCCACTTAAAACCCTTTGGCTTGTAAAACATTAATTTAAAAGAGTTGACATTTTTTTCTCAATGCCACACTTTAATGTACGCCTCAGAAACATTGTCCAACAGACGGATGGGTGGGTACTTTTCAAGACTCCTGAATCTGCTGTGGCTTATAAAATTATAAACCAGTGTGGCTTATTTGTGAAAAAAAAATTTAGTCTGTGTGGATTATATATATAGGCTGAAGGTCTGCTCAATAGCCTGAAGTTTACGATACTGCATATATATATATATATGTGTGAGGCAGCATGGTGGAATCAGGCTCTGGTCCAAATAATCAAAGTGAAGAAACTTGCATTTTTCCATGGGTTTGTGAATTTTTATCAAATTTTTGTTTTTTGGCTCAACACCTTTCATGCCCATTAAAGAACTCATTTCTGTGTGGATTTTTCGGAAAGGCATTGATTAAAGGCATAAAAAATGTAAATCTTCAGTTACCACAGACTCTAAAGCTAAGGAAATAACTAATCTTTGGCAGTCATTTTCTCACTAATTTTACCTTTGAAAACAGGTGACCCCCACCTCCTTCTTTAGCAAATATCTCGACTTGTATTCTAGATAAATGGATACTTTTCGCATCCAAATAAAGACAAGTGAACAAGCTTTAAGAAGATACCAATAACTCTACATGCCCAAATAATGACGAGAGCCTGATTTCACCACGCTGCCTCACTTATATGTATGTATATATTATATTACGTCATTGTGAACCAAATTCTGGTGCTCATGTGACCTTATGCAGTTGCGAGCACCGTAAAACCTCTACTAGTAGTAGTACTAGTAAACCAAATTCCCCCACTGCGCATGCGATTTAAAAGAAAAGAGGACATTTTTTTTCTTCTTTTTCCTGGAGCGGTAACGAAAAAGTCTAGGATTTTCTTTTCTTACTGTTTCCCTCTGTTTTCGAATTAATTAAAAACGCGTTTGGTTTCAACAAGCTTCACTGAATCATTCATGTACTCTTGTTTTATCTCCCTTCAGGATTTCACCCAGTACCTTAATGACGGCCTTCACCTGTCCCCGTCTGGCTCACGTCTGCTCTTCTCTCTACTCCAGCCAATCATAGAGCGGCTTACCGCTGACCTTCCTTTGTCCATCTTCCCGTTCTACGACCAGGTGGATCTGGACAACCTGGAGAAATCTCTTCTGGAATAGACTGGGTGTTGCGCTGTCCCCGTGGTTTTATGCAAAAAAAGTTACAGCGGGTGTCGCATTCTACGAGGTTGCCGGGACCGGCTTGTTGTCCTCGTTGGATCCGACCTCTCGTTGAACGTGACTAAGGCTAAAGAAAAGAAATGAGACAAGCTACACGATGTACCAATACCAGTAATTAAAACAGTTGTTCCCCCCGATGACAAAAATCTCAAACAGCGTCAGTGTGCACATGTTCGAGCTGTGCTCTGACCGTCATTTCAGCATTTTAGAATATTTTTTTCTGGAACACTTTTCATGTGGAAACATACCCTCTCGCATCTAGACCTAAATCTACTCTGCATAAAATAAAGTTTATAAAGGCGGGAGCTTGAGGTACAAGGTTTTTGACAGTAAGTAATTTCTTATCATAAAAAATTGTTGACTGCTATACCTATGCTTGGGTTACAGGGATTTTTAAATTATGAAAGTAATTTCATTTTAAACATTGTTGACTGTCTACCAATGTGTGGGTATAGTTACAGGGTTTTGTTTTAAAATGTGAGTATTTTCATATCAAATGTTGTTGACTGTCTGTTGATCAATGTGTGACGTGGTCTTTGGAAAGTTACAAGGTTTTTGAATGATAGTGTTTTCGTATCAATTCAAGTCAGACCGAAGGGCTAGAACCCAAATGGCCGCTGGATCGGAAAAATAAAGTATATCAATTCAAGCACTTTGGACTGTTTGTGTACCAATGTGTGGATTACAGGGGTTTTTTTCTTCAAATTTTAAAATCTTTTCATATCAAGCACTTTTGAATGTCTGTGTACCCCATTGCACGTATTTCTGTATTATGTCCTTTTTATTTATTTTTGGTAAGTGTTTTACGGTGCGGGACACGCCTAACATTTTCAGTTGGTAGGAAATTTGGAATTTTGCCTGGGTGGCAGTCGAAGCCTACTTTTTTCAATTTTGGACCACCACGGGATCTTTAATGTGCGCAATTTCCTCATGGTCCTCCAAGATTGTTCGCTCTTGTTCGAGAAGGCTAGGTGTAGATCTTTCCTACCAGAAAGACAGCAGTAAGAAGGAGCCAAGGAGAAGCAGTGGAAAGGTTGCAGAAGGAGTCAGGATCCCAGAGGAGGGGGCAAAGGAGGTGAGGGGTTGGGGGAAGAAGGTGGAGGTGAAAGCGGACGACAGAACATTGCTAGAGAGCAGGAAAGGAGGTGAAAGGAGACAACAATTGTAGAGAAGAAAATTTTTCTGTCGCTACCCGGATTCGAACGCGGGACCTTTGAATGAAAGGCGAACCCTTAACCTCTAGGCCACGAGAGCCCCTGTTGAATGCCCATTGAGGTCATATGAATTAGATGATTTTAAAAATAATTCAAGCTAGTGTGCATTTTTATATATAAATTTTGTATAATGTGTGTTCGTTCACGTATGGACACACTTTTGAACTGTTTTCATTTTGTTTTATGTTGTTATGGAGTTGTTTATACCAAAGGTGCTTTTTTTAGGACTGAATGATTATGTGGCTTAAAATGAGGAACCCCTTTAGATTAGAATGGGAAAATTTTAGAAACTGAAATACATGTATTATTTTTGAAAAGCTTCGTCTTTTTTATTAAGTATTATGCACTTTTTTAGGGTGCAATTGCATTTGTGAGGCAGCGTGGTGGAATCAGGCTCTCGTCAAAATAATCAGAGTGAAGAAACGTGCCTTTTTCCGCAGGTTTGTGGATTTTTATCAAATTTTTGTTTTTTGGCTCTACACCTGTCATACCCATTAAAAATCTCATTTCTGTGTGGATTTTTCTGAAAAACGTTGATTAAAGCACAAAAAATATAAATTTTCGGTTACCACGGACTCTTATGCTAAGGAAATAACTAATCTTTGGCGGCCATTTTCTCACTAATTTTACCTCTGAAAAAAGGTGACCCCCTACCTACTTCTTTCGCAAATATCTCGACTTGTATTCAAGATAAAAGGATATTTTTTTCATCCAAACAAAGACAAGTGAACAAACTTTAAGATGATACCAATAACTCTACATGCCCAAAATTTGACGAGAGCCTGATTCCACCACGCTGCCTCACATTTTTCTGCCAAAAGTTGTCGCACTTTACTGGGCAGAGAGTTTGAAAGATTACTTACTTACTTCCCATTACGCCATGTGGCGTTTAGGGCAACGTTTGAAAGATTAGTGTGGAGGAATCGGCTTTCATTTAAAATTAATAGTTTTGTCTTTTTATTAGATCTATATACATGTATTGACATAAAACTTCATTTTTTGTTGAAATGAAGTCCTTCTTCTAGTAGGTATATTTTTAGTGATAAATTCCGACAGGTCTTGGCAAAGTCATTCACCTTTACGGTTCCAACCAAAGAGACCTGTTGACATTGACCAAAAGTATCTGGTTATTATTTTGATTAAATTACATGTAAATGTATTTTAGTGTTTCCAGTGCATTAAAACATCTTGCTGGGTTATTGGGTATTTTTGTTTTTGTTAAATTATGTTTTTAAGATGTGTTTTAAAGTTTTAGTAGAGGTTTTATGGTGCTCGCAACTGCATAAGGTCATATAAGTGCCAGAAGATTAGCTCTATAGGTGTTACAAGAGAGTAACAAACAGCAACAAAAAAAAGAAAAGATAAGGACGATAGATGTTTTATAAGAAAGAAGGAGCAAATGACACCAGAGCACCCAGCCCACTGTCATTGTGTAATCAGTGTTCTAGTGGTTATGGTGGTTATGCTGTTGGGCTTGCAACAGGTAGGTTACCCCCCGGGGCGGTGCCACTGACTGAAGTGTCTTTAGGCCATTCCCAATGGGGGGAGGGGGCATTTCTCGTTCTAGTGCACAGTAGAATTGTAAATGGGCTGATCTAACAATGTCATGCTCATAACTCTACCTGAACTACAACAGGGAACTGCTGCTTTTTCTTTACTAATCCTTACTATCTTCATTGCCTCTACTTCTATTGTATGTTTGTGCACACTCTTGTGACCCGCTATTTCCGGGGTGCTTTGATAGTCGAAGAAGACTTTGTGCTGTTGAAGCTAGAGAGGGGAGCAGAGAAAGTTTGATTCCCTGTAAG